TATTAAACATAAATATATGCTTTTCCTGTATGTAGGCAAGGTAAAGAGAATTATGAGTAATCCTAGGAGTTCTGAAAAAGTGAGAGGTATACCAAGAGTAAGAAAGATTGTGACCAGCCGCGTAGGAATACATGTGTAGAAATTGAGGGTTGAAAGAAGATAGATTCACCATATTACTCAGAGTAAACACAATCTCTCATCTTCTAGGAAACAAAACCTCTTGGATGGTTGAACTAATTATCAAGAGATGCTAACAAGGCGTCATAAGTTGATCATAATGCTAACAAATCATTCCAAAATTATTTATAATAATGAAAGGACAACAGTGTGTTTTGCTGGCCAAGGAAACCTTTAAGAACATATCATTTCAGAAAAACATGACAGATCGCCAGAAGTCAGAACAGTGTAAAAGATGTAAAAAAAAGAAAGAAAGAAAGAAAGATGTGGTCTTGAAAAGACCCACTGACATTGTAAGTACCCTGTGACGCTAGAAAGAGGAGGGGGGGCAGACAGGGAAGGCAAAAATGGCCACTGGATTAAGTCTGAATCACTCTGGAAATTTCAACAAAGCCTCAGGTCTTTTTTTTTTTTTTTTAAGATTTTTTTTTATTTATTTGACACAGAGAGAGACAGCGAGAGAGGGAACACAAGCAGGGGGAGTGGGTGAGGGAGAAGCAGGCTTCCTGCTGAGCAGGGAGCCTGATGCGGGGCCTGATCCCAGGGTCTCTGGGATCATGTCCTGAGCTGAAGGCAGATGCTTAACAACTGAGTCACCCAGGCGCCCCGCCCCAGGTCTTGATTAAGGATTAATTGATCATAACCTGCAAACTGCAGCATTTGGTGGTCTGAGATAATATTTCTTTCTCTGTTGGTTAAAGGTTACTTTAACACTGGAAGGTATAAATTGAGAAATATGAATAAGTGAGTCAATAATCTTTAATATGCTAAGTGAGGGTAAAACAATAACTACTTTAATCATTGTAATAATTTGTGTTCCACTTTTCCTATTAATCTACTTGTCTGTTCCTAATGTACAATATTATTTATTTATATATATGTATACTTTAAGTATATTGCTTATCTGCCTCCTTTTTTCTCATCCTTTTCCCTTCTTGTCAAATATGAGGGCAAGGGTCATAGTCTACTTTTCAAACTGCTATATTGATGGATGATTGTATTTGATGTATACAACTTGATGTATTTGGAGGTAAATATACACCTGTGAAACCATTGCCACAATCAGTGCCATAAACTCCTACATCATCTCCAAAAGTTTCCTCCTGCCTCCTTTGTTTTGTTGTGGGTTTTTGGGTTGGTTTTGACCACTGATGCATCCAAGAACCCAGCACAATACTTGTCACATAGTAGATGCTCACAAAATATTTACTGAATGAATAATTCTCTTACAGGTGCTTGTAAGTTGTGTTTTTAAGGTTTTTGAATCATTTAAGAAAAGTTAACTCGCTAGACTTGTAACTATATTGAAATTTTAATCGGTGTCTTGCTGTTTGAGCCTAACACAGATTGAAGGGCATTTTCAAAGAGAGGGAGGGTATGAGTAGAGAATGGTTCTGTGTGTGTGTGTGTGTGTGTGTGTGTGTGTGTGTGTGTGTGTGTGTGACATGCTGTCTTATGGCTAATCTGGCAGGTGGAATTGTGTACTAGCATAGACTTCTTGAGAGGGCAAGCCCTCTCTGAAATAGAGATCTATAACATTCCACTTCCTAGAGTTTTTATCCAGAAGGATATCAAGAGTGACATAGAGCTCTTCATCCCTGGAGAGTGGGTCCAGGTTTATTTTCCCCACTTTTTGGCTGAGGAAACTGAAGCTTATATACAAGTTAGGTATGACAGAATATTTTTGGAATCTCTCCAGATGCCTCTTTCTTGGTGGGTGAACTAGCTTCTCTCTCTGAAACCTGTCCACTGCTATGACTTCAGAAAAAAAAGACAAAATACCACCTCAGAAAGGATATAAAGAGAGAGGGTATGCAAAGGATATAAAAATAAGTTCCTTACAGGTAATGGGATATTTTCCCTTCCATGCTGTGGACTGCTGAGGAAGAAAGTAAGGAGAATCAGAGATGCAGTTTTTTCAGTATATGTATCCTGCTTAGAAAGTTCAAAGAAGAGTCCATTTTTTCCCCTATCACTGCTTGAAACTCTGGAGGAAAGAGCCTTTCAGACATGTGAAGTGATGGAATAACTGTGGCCTTGGCAAGTGGCTAGATGGATGAGACAGAACTTTGACTCTTAGGAGGTCTCTTAGGCTTCAATGAGTGGATGTGTTGGCGCTTAGAAGACCAGAGAATTCGCAGAGGCCTGAGGATGCACAAATTGCTGCAGTGTGAGAAGACACATCAGAGGCAAATGGTCAGGACTATAGTAGGTGCCAGCATAATGTTCCAAAGGCCAGTGTGGACCCAGTGACACATCAGCTGGGAGGGGACCAAACCATTCACTAGGGATCAGGAGCGCTGTCATGCCTTGATCTTGCTGCCATGTGATCATATCAGCCCCATTCTCCCTATCTTTGGAAAGAGCAAAGGAAGAGAAAGGAAGTAGGAAAGATTTAACGTTTATCCAAAAGAAAATGCGTCATAGAAGAGTCCATTTAAAAGAGAAGAGACAATAATACCTATTATTGGCAAGTTTAAAAGAGTGTTCTCCATCCCCTGGTACCCAGTAAGGTGGATGTTTATGAGGAAGAGTAAATCTATGATAGAAAATAAAGAAAGCTGCATATTCTCCATATATCTAGGTAGTATTTGACGTTTCCACCCCTGCTACCTGGGGGACATATTGAAGCCTACCCAGGTGTGAGGGTGTAACCTCAATCTCAACCTGGATCCTTAGGGTGAGGTTCTATCCAGTATACCCTAACATTCTATTCTCGGATGTCAGCAAAATCTGGCTGCCCTACAAACAGTTGCTATATATAAACTAACTTAGCTTTGGATATTCCCCAAAACAGTATAATTCATGGGCACACAAATGAGTGGCTGGGGATGGGAAAGTGAACTCTGTTAAGCTCATGGTATGGTCTCTCTCTCTGTCATTTCCAATATGGACTCACAGAGGTTAGTCATATGCTCAAAGCAAAAGAATAGTATCAATTTCCATGGGCTTCACACTGAGCAGGGCCTGGCGGCGGGGGGGTGCAAAATGTGATGAAGGCAGGTTTGCTTTTGAAACCCACTCAACTTTATTAAAGAAGAATCTGGTTCTCAAAGGTATTACAGCAGTAAGAACAGTCAGAATTGGCAGATTCAAAAGATGATTTTCATCTATCAGAGCTAGGGCTCAACACTCACATCTAAAGAGAAACACTAAATCCTATAATAGTAGACTGATTAAAAAGCTGAAGGTGATAAAGTGGGAATGAATAATGAGCTATATTAGCAAAAAATAGACTTCAGTAAATTTTAGGCAATGCAGAACATTTATATAATTACTTCTGGGACTATTCTGAAAAAATTAAGAAACATTGCAATTATCTCAAACATGTTAGAATAATATAAAAACATTCCAGATAAGGCACAACCATCCTTCTTGATATATCACAAATACTTACACCGTTTTTGGCTAAATTAGCCAAGAAAATTAGCTCTCTAGTTTGCTTTTACCTGTTTAGAGAGATTTGGAAGCATCGTGGGAGAAAAATGTGGTGCACTGGTATTTCAGCTGTACAAATGCAGTATTAGTCATGACCATCCTCAAACTAACATGGACTGTTTTAGATATAGAAATATCTTACTGATTCCAACTAACATGCACAGTTTCCCTCAAAATTGCTCATCTGTGAAATGAGTGTGAGAGATTTTTATACAATGTGGAGAAAATGACTTCAGTATAATGACTGAGTGAGGTACCGTTTCATGCAGAGACCAGTTGGATTCAAGTCCAAGCCTAAGATCACCTGCCCATTCAGACAGTTTCAGCACAACTATTAGCAGAATTGAAATAAGTTTTAAACCATTAAAATCAATAGTTCATCACTTTTTCCATGTATGTGCCAATCAAAGGAAAAAAGGGGGGTTGGGGCTTAGGTGAGAAAGGAAATAGAAATAAGAAAGGGGGAAATGGGAGAATGATGGTAGGAGGAACAGGGAAATTTGAATTGTTTTTACTCCAAGTAATTTCTAACTTCAAGATCAAAATACCATGTATTTGTAAGGAGATCTCATCAACCCAACATCAGTAGAATGAGCACTCATTTTGATTCAGTTCTCTAGCGTGGGGCTGGCTGGGTGCTCATGCACATGCACTCTCTGCATGCCCTCTGTGACCCACAATGTGCACCTACTGGTCACAGTGAGGGGGTGGACCTGATTTTCAGAGATGTTCACTGATCCATATACAAATTGAACTCAAAGACCTTGGCCTCATTGATTCTGGACTAGCTCATCCCTCATTTTCTGAATTCCATTGCATTAGCCAGCCGATATTTTTCTTAAACATCACCAGGAGAGGAAACATCACAATTCATTACTGCCAACCTTTTGCAATACTGAATGGAGTGTTTAACCTAAATCAATAATGTAATTAATAAATGAATGTAGGTGAGCACTTTCGAGAACAAGGTTGAGGATTATATTCTTATAAAAGAGTGAGTTTTTCACTCCTAACCTCTTCTTGTCCTCATCTGCACATACCTTATTTGTCTTCTGAATGAGTTTATTTCTGGAAGTGGCGAACTACAGATTTCAAACCATGAAATCAGAGAATCTCAGAAGCAAGTGGGCTTTGTTGGTCCTATTTCTTAATGTCATATGCCCTCTGGTGGTAAAGTCAGGGGACTTGCTGTGGTTTTATTTGAGTTCTCCAAAGCAAAACATTTCATTAAAATGAAATTTAAAAAGCATTCATCCTAATTAGCTGCTTGTTGTAAATAAATATATTTTAAGAAACTAAAGCACACTTCAATGTAACCTGAAACTAAGAATGTGAAAAAAGCACAGAGTAGTGAAGGGTCTTATAGTTGACCAAACTGTCCTCACCCTTCTGGAGCAGCAGGGATTCCAGGCCTTTATCCTGTTCTCCATTTCTTCACCTTTCTTTCTGAAATAGAGAAGAAAACTTCATAATTGCACATGAGTACTTGTCACATGTGGGCCAACTCTTCTTTACTGCTAAATTACAGCTGATGACTTGGACAGAAAAGGAACTCCCTGACATCTGCCTAGAACAATATATACATAAAATTAGACTGTAAAGACAGTCAATGACCATTGAGTACAATCACTAGGAGTTTATTCATAGAAAAATTATATCATTACTTGGATCATATCCTCTGAAAATATGAGCAATACTTGGAAAATTAAAATAATGAGTCAGAGAGAGGGAACATACTGATCTGTGGGAGAATTTATATAAAAAAATATCTTTCCAGGGTCACCTGGGTGGCTGAGTTGGTTAAGTGTCTGCCTTCGGCTCAGCTCATGATCCCAGGGTCCTGGGATTGAGCCCTGTATGGGGCTCCCTGCTCAGCAGAGAGCCTGCTTCTCCCTCTTCCACTCCCCCAGCTTATGCATTTTCTCTCTCTCAAAGAAAATCTTTACAATATATATGTATATCTTTCCATGTATATTTTTTAGCTTTTCATAAAGCAAATGTTTAACATTTTTATTTTGAGAAGAAAATATCCTTTTATTTTGAGAGGGTGTCAGGTTATTCCTTTAAAAACAAAATTTTATATAACCATAGATGGCAGGATTTTACTTTATTTATTTTTTTGCAAACTGTTTATTTTCCGTCAGCCTTTTCCATTTCTATTTCCATTTTGTTTGCCTTTGTGGAAGAGCAGCTTAAGACCACTCAGTGGTTGTTCCTACCCATTCAGTGGCCTGAGCAGTGGGAGCTGCAGACCAGTCTTCAGTGGCCGGCTGGGCGCTCCAGTCTTCAGTAGGGAATTGCTGAATAGGCACCGAGGACCCCTGCACGCCTTCAGACCAGTCTGCGACTTCAGGCTGAGTAGCAGTGAACTCAGGAGCTGGAGCCGTCCAGTCACCCTGAAATTCAATTCTGCCTTGGTCACAGCCTTTTCAGCAGTGGCCTGCTCTTCCTTTTCAATCTCTTCAGGATCGCCGTAGAAGTAGAGATCAGGCGTGACCTACCACGGGTGTTCTCGGGAAATGGTGCCACGCATGCGCAGAACTTCCCTGGCGAGCATCCATCACATCAGACCTCCTGAGTGAGCTCCCTTTTTAGGACCTTATAGCAGGATTCATCAAGTTGTTCTGAAAATCGAAAAGGTCCAGTAACATGTGAGGCCCAAGCAGTTAAGAAATATGGAGAAAAGAAAATACAGATCATTTAAAAAAGGATTTCTCCTTAAAGCTGACACATTTGAATTATACTTGGAGCAAGAATTACTATCAAACTCCACTCATTGGGCCAGAGACCCTTGTGGTGTTAGTGAAAAGACTTGCCCCTCATGTAGCACACTACCTACACTTGTGAGTTCATCGGCCAGCCAGCGGCCTCAACTCTAAGCTCTAACAATGTGCAGGATGGCAGGATTTTAAAATGCTTTTTTTTCTTTAGTATTTTTTTAAAATTTTTATACTGAAATAGTTTCAGATTAATAAGAATTTGCAACAGTGGTACAAAATATAGTATAAAATTTCCATATACCTTTTATTCAACTTCCCTAAATATTAACATTTTACTTAAATACAGTACAATTTTCAAAATCAGGAAATTAACATTGATACTATACTATTAACTAATCTACATACATTATTCAGCTTTTGCCAATTATCCCATAAATGCCCATTTTATGGTCCAGGATCTAGATTATGATTAAATCAATAATGATTAAATTCATATTATACATATAAATGCCACAGAAGTGACATTGTAATTTTCTCAACTCATTGTACTTGGAGTCTATGATGTTGATGTAGCTTATTTCTGGTGATGTTAATTTTGATCACTTGGTTAAGGTAGTGTCTAATGGATTTCTGTACGATAAAGGGACTATTTTTCCCTTTGTATTTAATTAGTATCTTATAAAGAGATACTTTAAAACTATGTAAATACCCTGTACCTTATCCTATATTAACCCACTAATTTCCAAATGAATTTTTTAATTTCCATCATTTTTTGACATTAATTAAAATTCTGTAAAGAAGAGAGGTTTTCTTTTTTTCCTCATATATATATATATATATATAGAGAGAGAGAGAGAGAGAGAGAGAGAAATATTTATTTTATTCTGTATGTTCTAATCCTTTACTATCATTACTTTGTTCTTCAAACTGACCCAGATTTGACCATTGGGAGTCTCTTCAAGTTGATTTCTGTGTCCTTTCAACATTGCCCATTATTTTTTTGAGCACATCTTTTTCCTGCACCACAAGATGTTTCAGGCTAATTTTATACTTTCCCTGCTCCAACCCTGGGGTCTTTTTTCCAAGGATAACCCTAAAAATTAAAATATTTACTTACGGTTATACTTTTTCTTATTTGTAACTCCTTTCTCTGACAGTAAGAAATCTGCTTTTCATTATTCAAAATTTATTTACTTGTTTGCACAGTCCTAAAAGATACATGAACTAGTTTCAGAATAACTAACTCATGCCCCTTTGGGGGGTGGAGGAAGTGAGTAACTAGTATACAGTGGTTGTGTACATTTCCTTTTGTCTTTAGTCTTAAGAGCACATAGTCAAAATACTGTTTTCAAACTTATTTAGGTTTACTCTTTTCTTCCCCACCCCCTTCAGGGTAGTGTAGTTTGTAATAGAGTTAGACTCATTTGTTATTATTTGTATGAATTTTGGGTTCTTCTCTCATCCTCTTTGATTTGAATTACTTATTTGTATTTTTGGTGGATGAAATATTATCATGGTTTCTAAGATTCAGAACTGTACAAAGAATTATACTCAAAGAACTGTTTCTTACCCTGTTGCCATCATCCCTTCCACCTCATGCCCCTCCCTCTTATTTCTGTAAGTAAGTAATCTTTAGTTTCAGGTTATCTTTTTTTTTGGGGGGGAGCAGAAATGAGTAGATACATGTATATTTTATTTCTCTTTCTTTTATAAAAGATGGCACATAATAGGTACTCCTTTGCACTTGTCTTATTTCTACTTAATGTATCCTGGAAAACAGTCCATCTTAGTTCATAGAAATCCTCTTGTAGTTTTTTCTTCCTACAGCTGTGTAGATGTATGTAACTTATTTAACCACTCTCTTATATTTAGACATTTGCATTGTTTCCAATATTTGCAACAATGAACAATGCTGTGATTAATAACCCATGCAAATGTATTTTTTGTATTATTGGAGGGTATCTTCTGGATAAAGTCTTAAAAGTGGACTTGCTATGGATAAAAAAAACAAGACCTGTCTATATGCTGCCTACAAGAGAATCATTTGAGACCTAAATACACATGCAGATCAAAAGTGAAGGGATAAGAAAACATTTATTATGTAAATGGAAGTGAAAAGAAAGCCAGGGTAGCAATACATATGTTGGCCAAAATCGACTCTAAAATAAACAAAACAGAGGGTCATAGAGGAAGAGAGGAAAAAAATAAAACAGGATGAAACCAGAGAGGGAGACAAACCATAAGAGATTCTTAATCATAGGAAACAAACTGAGAGTTGCTCAGGGTTGAGGGGAGTGGAGGGATGGGGTAACTGGGTGATAAACGTTAAGGAGGGCATGTGATATAATGAGCACTGGGTATTACATAAGGCTGATGGATCACAGACGTGTACCTCTGAAACCAATAATATTTATCAAAAAAGACTCCAACACAAAGACTGTAACAAGAGACAAAGAAGTACACCATATAATCATAAAGGGAACAATCCAACAAAAAGGTATAACAATTACAACAATTATAAATATGTATGTGCCCATTATGGGAGCACCCAAATACATAAAGCAGCTAATAACAAGCATAAAATATTTGATACTAATACAATAATAGTAGGGTACTTTAACACCCCACTTAACATCAGTGGAGAGATCATCCTAACAGAAAATCAACAAAGAAACAGTGGCTTTCGATGGCACATTGGGCCAGATAACTCTAACAGATATATTCAGAATATTCCATCCTAAAACAGGAGAATACACATTCTCTTCAAGTGCACATGGAACATTCTCCAGGATAGATCACCTATTAGGCCACAACACAACTCTCAACAAATTCAAAAAGACTGAAGTCATACCATGCATCTTTTTCAACCACAGTAGTATGAAACTAGAAATCAATCACAAGAAAAAAATCTGGAAAGAACACAAATACATGGAGGTTAAATAACATGCTACTAAACAATGAAAGGGTCGACCAAGAAACCAAAGAGGAAATAAAAAAGCACATGAAGACAAATGAAAATGAAAACACAATGACCTAAAATCTTAGGGATGCCGCAAAAGCTGTTCTAAGAGGGAAGTTTATAGCAATATAGGCCTACCTCAAGAAACAAAAAAATAATCTCAAATAACCTACCCTTACACCTAAGAAGAAGAACAAACAAAATCCAAAATGAGCAGAAGGAAGGAAATAATAACAGAACAGAACAGAAATAAATAGTATAGAAACTATAAATAAATAAATATTATAAAACAAACAAACAAACAAATATAGAACAAATCAATGAAACCAGGAGCTGGTTCTTTGAGAAGATCAACAAAATTGATAAACATTTAGTCAGACTCATGAGAGAGAGTGAGAACTCCAAATCAGAAATGAAAGAGGAGAAATAATAACTGACACCAGAGAAATACAAAGGATTATAAGAGAATACTATGAAAAATTATATGCCAAAATAAATCAGATAACCTAGAACAAATGGAAACATATATAACCTCCCAAAACTGAATCAGGAATAAATAGAACATTTGAACAGACTAATTATCAGCAATGAAATTAAATTAGTAATAAAAAAAACTCCCAATAAATAAAAATCCACTTCCAGATGGCTTCATAGGTAAATTCTACCAAACATATAAAGAAGAGTTAATGCCTATTCTCAAAGTAGAAGAGGAAAGATAGTTTCCAGAAAATAGAAGAGGAAAGATAGTTTCCACATTAATTCCATAAGAACAGCATTACCCTGATACCAAAACCAGATAAAGACACTACCAAAAATGAGAACTACAGGCCAATATCTCTGATTTACATAGATGCAAATATCCTCAACAAAATAGTAGGAAACTGAATCCAACAATACATTTAAAAAAATCATTCACCATGATCAAGTGGGATTTATTCCTAGGATGCAAGAGTGGTCCAATATTCGCAAATCAATCAACATGATACATCACATCAACAGGAGAAAGGATAAAGACCTTACGATTTCTCAATAGATGCAGAAAAAGCATTTTACAAAGTGCTACATCCATCCATGATAAAAACCCTCAACACAATAGTTTTAAAGGGAACATACTTCAATAAAATAAAGGTCATATATGAAAAATCCACAGTGAACATCATAATGGTGGAAAACTAAGAGCTTTCCCCCTAGGGTCTAGAACAAGACAAGGATATCCACTCACCACCTTTATTCAACATAGTATTGGAAGTCCTAGACACAGCAATCAGACACAAAACGAAATAAAAGGCATCCAAATTGGTAAGGAAAAAGTAAAACTATCTGCAGATGACATGATACTATATATAGAAAACTCTGAAAACTCCACCAAAAAATTTCTAGAACTGATAAATGAATTCAGTAAAGTCACAGGATATAAAATCAATATACAGAAATCTGCTGTATTTCTATACACAAATAATGAAGCAGCAGAAAGATAAATATGTGTTTTATTAATCTAAATAAATTCAACCTTAAAACAAAACAAAAAAGCCCATTTACAATTGCACCAAAAATAATAAAATACCTGGGAATAAACTTAATCAGAAAGTACAGAAAGATCTGTAGTCTGGAAACTATAAAACATTGATGAAAGAAATTGAAGATGACACAAAGAAGTGGAAAGACATTCTTTGCTCATGGATTAGAAGAACAAATATTATTAAAGTGTCTGTAATACTCAAAGCAATCTACAGATTTAATGCAATCCTTATCAAAATGCCAACAGTATTTTTCACAGAACTAGAACAAATAATCCTAAAATTTATATGAAACCACAAAAGACTCCAAATAGCCAAAGCAATTTTGGTGAAAAAGAAAAACAAAACTGGAGGTATCACAATCCCAGATTTCAAGATATGCTACAAAACTGGGTAATCAAAACAGTAAGTAAGGTACTGGCACAAAAATAGGACACATTGATCAATGGAACAGAATGGAGAGCCCAGAAATAAATCCATGATTATATGGTCAATTAATCTTCAACAAAGGAGGCAAGAAAATGCAATGGGAAGAAGACAGTTTGTCTCTTCAACAAATGTGTGGGAAAATTGGACAGCCACATGCAAAGAATCAAACTGGACCACTTTCTTACACCATATGAAAAAAAAATCGAAATGAACTAAGGACCTGTATGTGAGACTTGAAACCATAAAAATCCTAGAAGAGAGGACAGACAGTAATTTCGCTGACTTCAGCTATAGGAACATTTTTCTAGATATGTCTCCGGGAAGGGAAACAAAAGCAAAAACAAACTATTGGGACTACCTCTAAAAGCTTCTGCACAGCAAAGGAAACAATCAACAAAACTAAGACAGCCTACTAAATGGGAGAAGTTATTTGTAAATGACACACCCAATAAAGGGTTAGTATTCAAAATACATAAAGAACTTATGAAAGTCAACATTGAAAAAACAAATCAATGAAAAAAAATGAGCAGAAGACATTAACAGACGTTTCTCCAAAGAAGACAATACAGATGACACATGAAGAGATGCTCAACAACACTAATCATCAGGGAAATACAAATTAAAACCACAATAAGGTATCACCTCACACCTGTCAGAATGGCTAAAATAAAAAACATAAGAAACAAAAAGTGTTGGCAAAAATAACGGAGAAAAAGGAACCCTCGTGCACTCTTGGTGGGAATGCAAACTGTGCAGCCACTATGCAAAACAGTATGGCGTTTCCTCAAAAAATTAAGAATAGAACTACCCTATGCTCCAGTAATTCCACTACTGAGTATTCACCCAAAGAATACAAAAACACTAATCAAAAAGGTATATGCAGCCCTATGTTTATTATAGCATTATAATATACTATGTTTATTATGTTTATTGTAGCCAAATTATGAAAGCAGCCCAAGTGTCTACCAATAAATGAATGGATAAAGAGGGTGTGGTATACATACATACAATGGAATAGTGCTCAGCCATAAAAATGAATGAAATCTTCCATTTGCAACAACACGTATGGATCTAGAGAGTATAATGCTAAATGAAATAAATCAGAGAGAGACAAATACCATATGATTTCATTCATATGTGGAATTTAAGAAATAAAGAAAAAAAGAGATGAACCAAAAACAGACTCTTTAGAGAAGAAACTGATGGCCAACAGAGAGCAGGGCGGGGGGCAAACGGGGGGAATAGATGATAAGGATTAAGGATACACTTACCATGATGAGTGCTGAGTAATGTATAGAATTGT